TCCGTAAATGAAAACGGGACTAATCAGAGAATAGCACACCATGCCACTGCCGCAATCTCCAATGACGATGCCTTTTGGCCCAACGCAGACATTCATTTCGATGTCGACCAGTGAGTATGGGTCCAACATAGGAGACTGAGCGGAGACGTCGACGTACGGTGTCAGCACTGATCAATTCCGTCAGCCTTGTACGGTTGCTGCAGTCCTAGAAGCCGGATGTGTACGATCACGAAGATGCCGACGAACAATATGGTGATCCTTACGTGGTGTAGTTACACGACGTTGACCCGGACGTGGTCGATCTCTGGTGGTTCTTGTCTGCTGGTATCTGCTCAGTAGCCTGAGGACTGTTGAATGATGGCATTGAAACCACTGTGCAACGACTCTACTTGACGTACCAACTTGAAGCATGTCCAAGGCACGTTCACATTCCTCTGCTGTTAAATCTTGGCATTTCTTGTGTCAGTACCCTTTACGACTGCAGCAACAAGTGATGTGGCTTTTAAAAGTCTATCTTTTATAGCCGTATTCTGCATGCTTCCCGTGAAACAAAACACGTTTTCCATGATGTGCACGCAATTTGTTGCGTTTTGGCGATTTTGCTCACAAAAAAATTAGGAATGTGTTTTGCCGAGCTGTTCTTCTTCATGCTTCGTCCAGAACGTCGTATATTACTCATTCACTTATATATTTTCATATGACTTAAGCCCGGATAAAAATACATCCATTTTCATGGTGGTGCGTTTTCAATGCTGTTCAGTATATTATAAGGTAATAAAGTTTCTCTAGAGGCTCAATTTCACGAGTTTTAATCAAGGTTTTAAAGGCAGTCTTCCATGAAGAATAGAAGAGAGGATTGCCATAAAATATACCAGGTTCAGGAACAGGTAATCGACTCAGACTGAACTGCTCTGCAAAGGTTCTTGGCAATCTCATTTGCTGCTGCCAAAACACTGTCCATGTTCTCATTTTCTGGACTCCGACCCCTAGGAATATAATCAGGTGTAAACTTAGGCGTAAATTCCTCTGTACCAATGTTCAGTTTTGTAGAAGCAAAGGGTTGCCTATCACAGGCACTGTTCATATGTGTTTGTGTGTTTCTTTTGTGTAGAATCAAATCTTGATTGGCCTCAATAATCAGGTCAATTATCAGTGCCATGTTTAACAGGTTGCTTATCAGCATTGGCCAGTGACTGAATATATCTTTCCACGAGTTCTTTCTTGTTGTCATCTTGAATGTTAACTGGTTTAAGTTCAATTTGACCACTAAAATCAGGGGGAACTTTATCAGGACCAGCACCATAAAGCAATGTGTCACTCAGTTCAAATTTCTCAAATACCTGCACTCTTGCTTGTTCCATGTCATATTTCTTCTGTAATTCAAGCTTCAAAAGTTCACTATGTTTTCTCTCTTCCTTGTCAATGTACGAGGGCTGGCTGAAAAGTTCTAAGCCTAAGTGGAATATCTCAATCCGATTGAAACAAACTTTTGCCACCGACAAGTGCAATCATTTAATGAATCATAGACATAAGAACTGCAACTGTAGTGTTAATATTGTCTTTGTACCAGACCATCTTGTGAACCTACCCATTGAAATCACCAGAAATGGACAAAACTGGCTACAGGGCAGTCATCAAGTACCTGCAACTGAAAGGGCTAACTCCAACACAGATACATGCTGACATTGTCTCCACTTTAGGGGATGATGCCCCTTCCTTTTCCACTGTAAAGAAGTGGGCTGCGGAATTCAAGCGTGGCAGAGAGAGCCTTGACGATGACCCGCGTCCAGGAAGGCCTTCTACAGCAACCATTCCGGAAAACATTACCTGGGTGCGCGACATGGTGATGGCTGATCGAAGATTGACCACTCGACATATTGGCAGTGTTGTGGGCATCTAGATATTTAGATATTTTCCTGATCTACATACTTTACTGGGCATCTCTCATGAGAGGGTTGAGCACATTATCACCAACGAGTTGGGAATGACAAAAGTTTCTGCAAGATGGGTGCCAAAGCTCTTTACAGCGGATCAGAAACGTGTCAGATGCCTGACGTCCCGTGACAATTTATGCCATTTTGAAGCAAATCCCGATGATTTTTTCTGACCCGATTTGTAACCATGGATGAGACCTGGATTCATCACTTTCAACCAGACACCAAACTTCAGTCTAAACAATGTAAGCATCCGGAATCACCAGCCCCCAAAGAGCCAAGTCTGTTCCTTCTGCTGGAAAGGTGATTGCTTCAGTCTTTTGGGATTCCAAGGGTATTCTGCTGATTGACTATCCTGAAAAAGGACAGACAATCAATGGAAGATTTTATGCTGACCTACTGAGACAGTAATGGGAAGCTATGAACGCTAAGTGACGGGGAATGCTCACTAAAGGAGTCCTGTTCCACCAAGACAATGCTCACAAATCGGTGGTTGCCATGTCAGGGATCCATGATTGTGGCTTCCAACTCATTGACCATCCCCCTTATTCACCCGATTTGGCCCCGTCATTCTTCCACCTGTTTTTCCAAAATGAAAAAGGAACTAGCCAGTCGCCATTTTCCTGGTAATGATGACGTCATTTCCGCTGTGAATGACTTTTTTAGGGTGTCTGAAGAAAATTTCTCTTTGGCCGGCATCCAGGCCTTGCAGCATCGCTTGCAAAAGTGTGTAAACCTGGAAGGGGACTATGTGGAGAAATACATGAAAACCATCGACTTGGTACGGGTCTTTCACAGTTAGGCTTAGAACTTTTCAGCCAGCTCTCGTATTCTAACTGCACACGATACTCTGCCGCTTTCGCTTCGGCTACCACGTGAGTCGAGTCACGTGACCTTGCATTCACACGAGAGCTTCTCGACAAACCACTTATCACAGAATATTTCTCCATTGGACCCGTCTCATATATCACAATATAGCTTGGCGCAACTTGATGACGCGCATGGGTAGCCGTGAACCACCTTTGTTCAGTGTCGTGTTAACCCGGAACAAGCCATTTTACCCATAATTCCTCTACGGTCCAGGGCGCCATTTTGGAGCATGGATGTAAACGGGAGTAGTGCACTTTACCGGGCGCACTTTTTTCAGATCCAATTGGCGCTGTTGGGGCCCAAATGTGCTTCGCCGGCATGGCTAATTAATGCGTTAATTAATGCGTTAATAAGCCGACGCTCTACCACTGGACCACGAGCGCTATCACATGTAATCAGTGCTCGTTTAATGGGTCATTAGCACCCCATTAACAAGCATGTGTAATTCAGAAAACAGTGAATTGCACATGCGTGTGACGTCACTGTCCGCTCTCCCATTCATCATTTCTTGAAACCACACCCGCCATTGTTTATGTCAACATGACCGACTAATCGGATTAACTGGATTAACGCTTGAAAAGGTAAGAAATTATGGCTAACCCTTGCCCAAAGCAAGCTAACCCTAAGGACCGAAAAGGGATGTTTGGTCGTAAAGATGTGTAAGTTTCCCTAAGACTGCAAAGGTGTGTTGGATCGTAAAGACGTGTAAGTTTCCCTAAGACAGAAAAGAGGTGATGGATTGTAAAGACGTGTAAGTTTCCCTGAGACCGAAAACGGGTGATGGATTGTAAAGACGTGTAAGTTTCCCTAAGACCGAAAACAGGTGTTGGATCGTGAAGCGAGAGTCACCGGAGCGTGAGGCACGGTAACGGTATAGCGAGTATTATATGTTATATTATGTATGAGCAGTTGTAAGAAATCACAGTTACCTAATTTCAATGATTAGCATAAGCCATATTTTCATTGTTCCATATAATTCTGCCTAGGGCCTTCATAAGTGGTATAAGTGATATGAAGCCCTTTGAAATAGCCGCAACTAATATTGAAGGTCAAATTAACTTTCAATGTCTTTCAGTAAAAATGTTCACAGTAACTGAGGAAGAGCTCTCTGTAGTGCGATGAAATCTGGTACATGTCACCCTCAGAGTGAGGCATATTGTGTTTCAAACTTCAATGAAGCTGGTATGTCTAGATATAACAAGTACTCGTACCGTTACAAATAATCTTATAATCATCTCACCAGGACCAAATGCCCAAGTCAGCACACAGTCGATGACTTAATATTTTCACTCAGAACAAACTGGAAGTCTGCACATGAAATTAAAGGATATCATCATACATATATTAGAACTGATGTTTAACATCTAGAAAGAATCATAGATGAAATTGAAAAATTGTACATGCTCAGAGATCTCAACTTTAAGGGGATATTTACAACTAAAATAACACAGAATATTACTACAGCTATCTGATATGCCCCGGCTAACATTATTTACTAGATAAAGGACTCGAAAAATCGCATCCGGATACCTTCAGCAATGTTCAATTTCCTTGGTTAGTTTCAAATATATTTTTAGGTGTTCCACACTTAATTGAACAAAATGCACCCCCAAATTGTGACATTGTTTTGAGATATCCGGTGCCGGATTCTAGGAGGCATGCTTTCCGGTGAGGTGTCCAATGCCGGATACCACGGATCTTGTATCCGGCAAGGTATCTGCCACTTGATACCCGGATACGTTTTGGGTAAGTGTCCGGAGGTATCCAGAAGGGATCCAGATACCGGAAGCTGCTTTTTTTTTGCTTTGATGGTAACATCACTAGGTGACAATGATTCATAAGCACATGCTAATGACGCAATCGCAATCGAACAATGGACTCTTAGCAGAGGTTTGCTTGCTCCCGGTAGGACAGTACGTGCTTACAGTTTTCGTGAAATCAGGCTGTCATCACTGATTTTCAGTGATCCCCTTTAAGGCCAATGTATTATGTTTCATCAGATAATCGAGACTGATTATTCTCTGGCGTTGACATATGTATATTTGGAAAGGGTTTTATAGCTTTTATTTACCCAATAAGAAGTCTTCAAATCTGGGCCAAGGAATAAGGTGTATCTGTTGAGTCACAGAGTAGAACAGTGAACACAGGCGGTTGTGTATTCTTGTTGTTGATTGTGACTTTGGCTTATCGACACAGCTCCACAACTTCGGTGAAGGCTTGACGTGTGTAACATCAAGCAACCTGTTTCTTCCGTACGGTAAGAAACAAGGGGCTTATTTAAATTGTCCCTGAGCAAATCATGACCATTTCAACATATGTTTTAGAAAATAATTGCAAAAATGGCTGAGGTTTATCGTATTTATATGAATAGAATAAAATGAGTGTCAAGTGCATTTGAATTTATTCGAATATGTATATTCATTTACAAGTTGTATGAAAAGGAAAATCTTGTTGAGAGGCATAGAAACTGCACCAAAATGCCCCTGTCTTGTGGCACGAGCGTGTAAGTCTGAAATCAGCACACAAAAAAAGGTCAGCGAAGGAATCCAGTTCATGATTTGATTGGAAACACTATCTTTCGCAAAGAGACTTTACGTTGAAACGTAACAACAAATAATGTTGACAGTGCATGTATTTCCCATTGAGTTGCCATAAGTCCCAGTGGTTAGTCTGGCTGAGCAACGATTAACCCCATCGAGTAAACTGACACGCAATGAGCCAGGTCACAGGCCGATACCATCCGATTAATTCAGTTTCCTAGTACAGCAAGATATGGGTTTGACAGCTTCTATTCCGACTGAGGCTGATTATTCAGTTGAATGATAACGGGGATGAATAGTATGTTTAGTTTTCATATAGACATGAAGCTTATTTTGAAGTGCTTGGCTTGCAGGAAAAGCAGAAATAATGTAACCAATTGTAAAGGGGGAACATATTGCACATTGACTATTTTGACAGAATATTCAAAATCTGAATAAAGGACCATGGGCTTTTCAACGACGTCACTGCTGATTGTCGTCAATGTTGCAATCCTTGCTATTTTCGTCGGTGTCTCCGTCTTTCCTGTCGACGACAAAGGAATTCTTTCCCCCGGACTGAGGACGACTTATGACTATATCATAGGTAACATTCATATATTCGAATATTTCTGAAGTTCATCTTCAAATGACTGCAACATTTTGTACATCATCTTTTGGGTCGTTACTGTAATGTAAGAACAATTGCTGTATGATGATATAATGTTAGTATTGCATTATGTGGTTCAATTGTGGCATTACTGTTTGGACGACCACAGCAAATGATTAATTTAGGTCTGTTTTGTGTATGATTAAAACAGTATTCTATTTCACAGTTGGGGCAGGGTCCGCAGGGGCTGTTCTTGCGTCCCGTCTGACCGAGAATGGTCACGTGACCGTCCTGCTGATCGAGGCTGGCGGTGATGACCGGAACCAGAAGACGCTGGATACTCCTCTGATTGTAGCCTTAAACCAGATGGACAAATTTGACTGGGCCTATTTGACCGAACCTCAGCAACATGCACATTCAGGACTAATAGAAAAGGCAAGGCTAACAAATACGTCTCTGAAAGCACGCACCTCCCTGTTGCCCTATTTTAGTGAAGGTCAAAGTTGCAGTTTGTATTAGATCATATATTAAGATCTTCACATGCACATACAGTTGTATTCGTACATTGAATTGGTCTCTGTATTATTCGTGACTGCGCATGCCCTATTTTCTAGGTTCTTGGTTTGCTGATTGAGCATGCTCTGTCTGCCATGATTTGAAAGAGCATCAAACGACTGTTGTTCAGGAGTTGTTAGCTCAAGGTTACAAAATTTATGGCCTCAATAAAGCTTTCAAATGTTTTATGGTAGACATGTGTAGCGCATTTCAAAATGTGACGCACTAGTGACATAAACCGTGATAAGATTGGATATATGTTTCACTGGTGTTCCAGTAGATATATTAAGATGAATTTCAGAGGGGAGCATGGCCACGTGGTAGAGTCTTGGGAGGAAGCAGCCAGTTAAACTATATGCAGTATGTCAGAGGGCATCGCCATGACTACGACAGCTGGGCAGCCAGTGGCAGTGAGGGGTGGAGTTACGAAGATGTTCTCCCGTACTTTAAAAAGTCGGAGGACATACAAATTGATAGATTAAAAAATTCAGGTAACTGTAAAACTATACACATCATTTACATTTCGCATGTCGATATTATCACCACGTGCAATTCATTATCACTGGGCGTAAAAGGCAAAACAGTTGTGACAATTATATGAATGGATCACTGACAATCACTGATGACACCAGGGGTTCACGAAAGAGTAAGCATGTTCGACCCTACCGGTGGCATCAGACACACACATAATTTGCATAAAAACAGTAAGTGATTGTGCACTTGTGAAAATATCACTTCACGCGCTCCAGTGTATTGTTGACGTCATCAGGTCGGCTTGATATCAATCACTAAATTGTCTGGTCCAGACTCGATTATTTTACACACCGCCGTCACATAGCTTGAATACTTCCGATTGCGGCATTAAATAGTAAACTAACAAACAAACGTAAGTAGCAGGGGAAGAGGTATTATGCTTTCTTTTTGTTTGAACTGATATCAATAAATACTTCAAAAATCGCCGTTACTAAATTAACGCTGCTTTTTCTTGGGTTTCCCGCTTTTCATGACAGTTGACAGTGTGTGAAAGATTTTTGTTTGTTGTCGAGACATAACGTATTCTTCTTATTCATTATCATTTTCTCATTTTCAAGAATACCATGGCCGGGGAGGCCCAATGACTGTGACGGAAGTGAACGCAATACCCGTCGCTGACTACTTCGTCAAGGCGGGAATTGAACTCGGGTTCAAGGAAGTAGACTACAACGGCGAAAATCAGGAAGGCAAGTTTATGTGCGAAGGAACGTACGTGTGCGTGAGGTTTGTCTGTGTCTGCATGCGTTCGTTTTTGTCTTTGTGCAGTGTGGCTGTGTGCGTGTTTGTCAGTTTTGTGTGTCTTTGCTTGGTCCTGAGAGTCCCTGTAGGTTTATGTGGCTCTACGCCCACCTACGTGTCTGTCCGGGTGTCAACCTCTCAGTTGTGTGTGTATATGTCTGTCTGTCAGTTTGGCGAGTCTCTATTAGATCTGCTATTTAAATAGTACGGAAGGAATCGCCTGATTCAACCACCCTCAACAAACTTTGAATTACATCTGGAGCACCCTATTGATGGAATTCTGCTCATGACGGTTTTGCTTCGAATATTTTCATAGTCCTGTAGTAAGGCAAAGACACGTTGTAATTCGTTATTAATGCCAACTGTAACTGTTTCAGGATTTAGTAGATCTCAGGTTTCAATCAAGAATGGGGAACGTATGAGCACATCCAAGGCGTTCCTGTGGCCTGTGATAGACAGACCCAACCTGCACGTCCTGGCCAACAGTCACGTCACGAAGGTAGTGTACTTCAACCGTCCACATTCCTCTAGGATACGCATTCGTACATACATCACACATCAGTTCAGTACTGAGTTTGGCCAATTGATTTCACCAGGTAATGATTAACAAGAAGACAGCAGTTGGTGTCGAGTATGTCAAAGATGGCCGCCTGTACAGAGTTCGTGCTTCAAGAGAGGTAATCTTGTCAGCTGGTGCAATTGGATCGCCACAACTGCTGATGCTGTCAGGAATCGGGCCAAAGAAACACTTGGAGGAGATGAAGGTGAGAACTGAGCATTGATCTGTTTATGCAGTTTATGTCACAATTTAAATTAGTAGATCAGATTGCTGTTCTCTCCAGAAATATCACAGATGTAAGTTTATCTGAAAGGAGAGTCGACTGTACGATTCCTACTTTTTCCTGAGCATGTGTTTATGAATCGCTCTCAAATATTGATGATACCAGGTGTTCGTGAAAAGGTGAGCATTTTCTGGCAGAAGAGAATTGATCAAGAAAAGATGTATAAGGAATGACGACGTCAATATACTGAACAGTTTTGTTACAGCGTTGGGCTTGAACATTGCATACTATTGTAGATTTATGTGTGTTGTGTCTAATGCCGCAATGAGCACATCCACGATCATCTAGTATAGTATATCTCCATTCTGTAATGATAAATAACCTGGATCCATTCACCACATGTTTCAGAAGTGATGTTACCATCTCCTGTCCTCTGTCACTAACCTATGAGTGTAAATTGATTGGACGGCTACTTTATGCTCTTAAACCAACTCATGCGACTGTGTTGTGTCAGATTAAATAACAATTTATTTGTTAAGTGTGAGATTTTGCTCCATAATTTGTACCTGGAGCGTGAATAAGATTCATATAAACTTTTTTAATTACTTCTTATAGAAAGATATGCCTTCATCTTCTGTTCTAAAGGTACAAATTGTCAATTCATGTTGTAGATTACTTCTATTGTGTTTTAGAACGAACATACAATTTATATTTCTTTTTCATTGTCCCCATTTTTCCAAATGTGTCTTCCCGTTCTCGGGGAACTGATGTTTGAATCTGGCGGTAACTGATTATGTCATTTGAAACAGCCGCCTTCTCCCAGTTATATTCGTTACAGCCTGATTGTTGCAGTTCTTCTCGCCTCTTGCCCTGATTAACAGGTCCTATGAACATAGTTTTGATCCTACTCTCCGTTAAACGGCTACTGACTTTGTAGGATGTCAAGTTATGTGCATAAATTAAACAATCACCTTATTCATGTCACGCCACACTATGTATTCTTACACCTGGAATGTTTATCAATGTCGTCATTTTTGTCTGCTTTGATGTATACACCTGTTTTTGTTTAAACTATTGTAGATAAAACATGCTTCCGTTGTCGAATTTACGTGGATTCATACGGTTTGCACATCGGGTTTTCGATTCATACCTCAATAAACCGAAAATAATACACAGTCAATCCTTAAGATTACTAAAGTCCCAAGTGTGTTATAGAATGAAAACAACTCTTATATTTCTTCATGAGGATTCTGGATAAGAATAGATCCCCAGCAACCTATGCTGGTCTTAAGAAGCGACTTACCGATTTACACAACTCAAATACACAAATACGATCAGCTTTCATCATCCCTTGTGTTCAACAAGACTCACTTTCTGATTTCTAATGCCAGAGAACAAGTAACTTCCATACTTATTAGTACAGGGGTGCTATGACTTATTGTCCTTTCTTTGCATGTGTTTCTGACGGGTTTGTGATGGGTGCCACTGGTGGGGCGATATAGCTTACCTTTCCGCGAACACATAGTGTCACCACTCTATGATGTTCTTATAAACACGTGCTTAGGAATTGGTCGGAATCGCACAGTGGACTATTGTAATTTCTTATATTTTTTACTTATCCTGCATTACTCCTTAATGCATTCACTGCTTACCTTAAGACAACTAGAAGGACAGCGCAACTGCGAAGGTCCTGGGTGAAGAAATAAAGTTGTTGTTCTGAAGTCCCAATTACAGACCTTTCCGTCGCTGTCCTGTGACCTTGATGACACCTAAGGTCATCTTCACATCACTGCTTGTCGCACTACAGCAAGGACGTGTCCCAGCGGAGCTCTCCTTTTGGAATTAATTTAGACCTTCAGTGTTCGTTTACCATCCTAAAATTGATCTGCGATGGGTGATGTATCCTTTTCATATACTTTCACCATGGTGTGTAGTTTTATGTGAATTAATTAGTCGTGAAAAGACTCTTGTCTTTTTTCCCGCCACATATTTGTTGTTCGCGGCCATTTTGAATTGTGTTACAATCGTTTGTCTGCAAAGGTATTCAAATTGTTTACAATTCTCAGCTACGTATGTATAACATTCTTGTGTTCTTAAATACTACTAGCTTTGGCGTAACAGTGACTTGCGTATACATAAATTATTGTATACATTTTCAACTCGTTAAAAATATGTTTGCCGATAGATTAATATCAAATCTTTCTTCCAGTCCCGCTTCGTCAACAATTCTTTAATTGCGTTCCTATGTTTGCGCGATTGTATTATTGTCGTGGAAAAAATCTTACCAAGATTATCATCCACGTCGGTTGGCTTACACGCATACGAGTATGTGTTCGCCAAAATCCAAAAATAAATAGCTTTAGTTTACATTGAGTTGCGTATATAAAAATATTGTATACACTTTCAACCCGTATTTTTGCCGATAGATTATTGTTCAATTCTACGGCATTCTTCCAGTACCGTCTCATCAACAATGGTTTAATTGCATAACTTATGCTTTAGCGTTGTACTAATTGTCGTGGAAAACATCGTACCAAGATTATCATCCACGTCGGTTGGCTTACACGCATATGTGTTCGCCAAAATCCAAAAGTAAATAGCCTTAGTTTACATTGAGTTCCGTATACAAAAATATTGTATACCCTTGCAACTCCACGACCCCTCACACAGTGGTCCAACCGACTCCTCCACCCTCACAGCAATTGCCTCACCCAACGTCTTCACGCATGGTTCGTCTTTAAAAGGCGTTTAAGTGCAAATGGTTATTTCGACACGGGCAGCAAAGCTATAGCTTTGGTTCATCGTTCCTCTCCCAGAGGACTATACGATGACAAGTGGGGATCATTTGAAACTTTCGGCAAGGCAAAAGAATCAAGACCCTACGATTGCGTCACAACAATTCCTAGCGGAATACCCAAAGACACTTGGAAGGTAGCACCATTACTACGTAATTGGCTACACTTAACTCAGTGTAGGCTGTTCCGGAAAATCACAAGGTGATTAAGGTCACGGAACTACAGGCCCTATTACGCTCATTCAGGCTTGCGGATCAGAAGGCCAAGTTCCGCCCACCTGCTTGGGACTTGAACGTGGTACTTCGAGGTTTGCGAGGGCCCCCTTCGAGCCCCTCTATGCACCCTCATTTTATGACCTCACCAAGAAAACAATGGTTTCTCTTGGCATTAGCAACGGCGGCACGGGTGGGCGAACTACATCTAACTGACACCACCCGGGTCCGTTTTGAGCATGGGATGCACAGAGCGGTTCATCTAGGGTTATGCTAGGATTTTATTGCTAAAATCTACTTCCAGTCCAACCCGACCGTTCCTTCACCATCCCACTAATATCGATTATTGTGGGAGCCGTACATGAAGGTGAAATTCTTCTGGGGTCGGTGCGAGCAGTTCGAGTTTTCATTCGCCGCTCCAAGACTAGGCGTGGTTCGAGGAAGCGGTTATTTATATCTCTATGGTTACGCGCAGTAATCCTTCAGGCCTACGAGATCGCCAAAACGTAATCCGTGGAGAGCGAATTACCCTCACGATCTCAGGGTGTTAGCCTTACCATGGCTCAACACGGCAATTGTTTTATTGGAACAATCACGGAGGGATATTTCTGGAGGTTCGACACAGGTTTACGTAAGTCATTATCTTCGCGTTGTGGCTCTCGAGGATGTCGAAGGCGTGCGAAGTTGGACCCTCTGGTTGTAACCCAGCAGGTTACCAACCCCTGACGCAAATAATGAACTCGTCCTATACAGAGCCAGTCTACTTCCATGTGCAGTCACTCAGTCGCCGCCAGTGGAAGAATATTAGACAATCTTGTTTGTGAACGACGGCTCTATCACGTATAAGTAAAGAATTAGCTGATTAGCTATAATTTTCTTTAATACTAAGTATGTATTGGGAATATCTCTTTAATTCCTACGTTCAATCTTTTTTATTTTTTTTAACAACCGTAATGGCGTTTTTTTTTAACTTTTCTGCTTCAAGGTTTATCGACCAACTTGTGTCGTATTGAAGGGTGTGAATTATTGAGGTTTCTGTATTCTGAAGGTTGACCCACCTCCAAACCGTCCGACACAGATGCATTAAGAGTAATGCAGGATAAGTAAAAAAAATTGTAAAATCTAAATATTTTTTTTACATGTGTATACTTATCCTGTATTACTACGTTTAAGGCCCACCCGTCGAAATACTTGCGGCTTCACTTTGGCTTCAGAAACCTCAAAAGTATGTTTTTCTAAGAGCTTGGGCGACAGGCAGTGCTGTGAAGATGACCTTAGGTGTCATCAAGGTCACAGGATAGCGACGGAAAGGTCAGTAATTTGGACATCAGAACAACAACTTTAATTCTTCACCCAGGACCTTCCTTCTAGTTATCGTAAGGTAAGCAGTGAAAGCGTTAAGAAGTTATGCAGGATAAGTATACAAATGTAAAAAAGATTTAGATTTTACAAAATTATTGAAATAGTTTTGTCGTGTGTACTTCAATATACAGATTCCAGTTCACGCTAGCCTCCCAGTTGGTGACAGCTTACAGGATCACATGTTCGTCACCATGGTATCAAAGATTCAGAAGCCTATTTCGCTCACGACAAAGAAGTTAGAGTCAACCCTTGCTTCAATCGAATATCGTGCATTAAAATCAGGTAAGTAATATTTGCCTCAAGGCGCGTATTTTCCTGAACATTTTAAACTTTGTTTTATCTTCCCATTTTTTACGAATTCTGTAGGGCAGGTCCACAAATTCGAAACTACTAACGTCATACGTTAACGGACGTTTGTTGTTTAACTCTGCACTTAGTAATAATCCATCGATTTGACGATGGTCTGTGAATAATCGACAACCCAGTGATTGATATCATAAGCATCAATCTACGCAATTGGAATAAGATGTCATGCACCAAGTCACCGAGCCTGACCACCCCATCCCGTTAGTCGCCTCTTATGACGAGCATGGATCCTTAGTGGTTCTGATTGGATAAGATCGGGTATTCCAATTAATGTATATGGGTCATAGTGTGCTATAATATCCAAGAAGAAAGAATTTCAAACAAGAACGTTCCAACAGCTTTGTCAGCATGGTATCATAATTCATAATACACTAGTCATACATTATAATATGGTCCATTTTACTGAATGTTGTCTTCTTTATCATCATAGCATGAGCACCAAAACGTCTGTAAGCAAAACGCGGATTGATGAGCAATGCTTGAGATGAGTTCGCATGCTCATTGAGTACAATGAGCCCAAGTTACAACAACGACAGAAACTCAGTTCTTCAGTTCCTTTGGTTGAAAGCTTAATCACTGGCAACAAACGTCGTTGTCTTTATCCGAGTCCATGTATAAATAGCTTAAAATTGTCACACGGCTTACTTACGAGATTGAGAGGTGGTTGTGAACATGTTGTAACTGTCTGTATAAGCACGGGGCGATCCAAACTGCGGTTTTGGTCGATGTCTTCTTGGAAACCTTTGCTGTTATGTGTGAAGAGGGAGAACAGAACACCTGATGGTTCTATATGTATTGGAAAACAACATCTTCTGTGATTCTTTTCAACCAGCAATTGTACAAAGTACACTTCTTTTCAGTTTTTGTTTCTTGAATGTACCGCTGTGAACATCTCCAAAGAACAGGCCGGAATTTTTGTTGACGATTCTATTTTTTACGTGGGTGCAACAGGAGCCTCAGTAGACAAGTGACGGTCTCCTCAAGTTCTGAAAACACCGAGGTCGAAAGTTGTCTTCTGGAGAACATCATGGTTGAAAGGATATAATCCGGATTTCGGGAAAGGACACTGCAAGAAGTAAATGCAGCACGATCAGCCATGGAATCCAAGCTATATGCTGAATACTCGTCGACACACGAGGTTGCGTTCTGACATGTATTTGTGATGCAGGTTATAAAAAATCCTTTGAATAGGACCGGCAATACCAACAGGATGATATTTATCTCGTTGTCCTGTGTAATGAAAGAAACCGTGATGTGGGCAATATATCCATTATAAGTAAAAGCGAGGAGATTTTGTCCATTGTCCATAGTATCTCTGCTGTAATTTCAGAGATTTTACAACATATCGTAAAGTTGTAAAATGAAGACACCAAAGGCTTGAGCTATTGGAATATTGCTCAACATAAGGGAAAGTTGACCGTTGAATACATCCCTTATGTCATACAGTCTTGTGGATAACTTTGTTTAGTGTAACAGTTTCATTGTCTCTTCAGTTCTATTTCAGGATGGTAAATGAGTGGAGAGGAATTGCCTATTTGAATATTATTGGCCAGTAGCAAAACATCGGTATACCTGAATATTAATGTGTGTTGTGTTTCTGCAAACAATGCGAGCAGAAATTCCGATTCATATGCATTACAGAAATATATCAACAAGGAGGGAAGCACAGTTTGTGCCATTTGGGGAAACCTCGTTTTTGAAAAAAAACTTCTGATCTCCAAATTTCACATGGATGGTATCAGTGAGGTCAAATCCAGCATTTCATTGATTTTTCTTCTCAGAGGACAAAGGTGAGGTGAACTGCAGTATGATATATCAGTCCGAAGTTATACAAGTAATCATGCAAGCACGCACACGGGTGGTTTTTAAGTGCAATAATCTGGATTTTGCAATTTTGCTTAATTTTTTAAAACCAATTCACCTCACCTCCTACAACATTTGCTTTCATTTGTGACATACTGTAATGAACGTTTGAAGATAGAGATGTAACTTTATTTTTATGATCACCACGTTTTGATAATTGTCCCATGGATCTAGGAATACATTTTCTCGTTTGGGTGAGTGATGTACAAAGTTGGAAAATCAAGTGTTTAACAATTGAACTTAGTTCTTTTCTGCAATTGCTAAAAGTCAAAAGCAAAATCTTTGAGTCTTTGAGAATTGATTTGATATGAATATCACTTGTATCGAATATTTCTGAGAATATAACGAAATTCATTCCTTGTTTGTATCAAGGATTTTGGTTAATCTTTGACATGGGGCGATGGTGGTACATTTGCTGGACCAAGCAATTTTTGTGTCGGATTTTGGAATCCAGTAGAAAGAGGAATGGGCATTTTTATATGTGCAGTAGTCGTTCAGCTCTTTCTTGGGAAAATGGTTCGTTATATACCTTTAAAGTACATGACTGTTGGCCCATCTTGAACAAATTACAGTCCCAGACATTCCAAGTATGAAGTCTCTCTGGTTCTCCAGACTGCTATTCTCCTCATAAGATAGATATGGTGAAGGTCAAGACTTTAAAGCATTAATTGTCAAGATACCCCTTGATTCTATGAGGTAAAGTTAAAAGTGAATGAATGAGTGAGTGAGTTGGGTTTAGCTCCGCTTTTCACATTATTCCAGTCATATCACGGCGTTAAAGTTAAAAGTTGCATTGCGGACAGGAATACCATCTTGAAAGCATCACATGCTTTACTTTTATGTTCAGAAGTGTAATTCCCATCTCAATCCTTTCCATGTTTTGAAGGAAAAGAAAAAAGTAACATTATAAAAGAATTAAAGAAATGCAAACATATATCTGTTAAAAAGAGTGGCCCAAAAGATTTCCATCCTTTCGACTGAAAAGTAAATATGAAGACCATGAAGCGCCAAATCGTCGCTGATTTAAATAAGCAGAGTCTTTTTATGCTGACATTTATATTTAAGGTATGTGAGACAAGTTTCCAGTTGCAACTTATTTTTAACTCAAGATAAACATGGTCGTCTACAAACGTGTGATGTCCAAAACATGATCGGAGGATACATTTTGAAGGCCGCCATGGTGAGGTTAAAATGTTGCTAACTGTTCAGCAAACATCATGCCTTGACGGTTCCAAAATCCGTGCATCGCGGCACACCTTCCTTAGTGGGTACTTGCTCAGCCACTAACAGCTTATAACTTGCCTTTCACTGTAGGTCTTTTCACATCAAGCGGCGGTCTGGAAGCCACGGCGTTTGTGAAGACGAAATCCGAGGAACCAAGTCCAGACGTTCAGCTTCTCTTTGTCTGTGCTTCAATGGACAAAAGACTTGCCCGTCTGTTTAACATTGACCAAAAGGTAAGAGTGCTTTATTTCCACAGGAATCACAATATGTTCCCAGTATCGATGGGCCCTGTCTTCGTACTTTCTTCTTATCCAATTCTATAATGTTACATGCATTAATGGCTGAGCAATGGGCAAAAATGACATTATTAACACGGTTCCCATGTGGCCAGCTTTTCATATTTTTTATAATTAATTCTGTGGGCACTGTAAGAGCACCGTAGCTGTGGTCATCAATGAATAGGCCTTGTGGTTTCAGGGAAGATCGTATGGACGGACTACACACGCACACTGACACGACATAAAAGGTCTTGTTTTGAAACGTCCCTTACCTTATATAACGATCATCTTCTTCTTATTTAGATAGTTGCTCATTTCAACTGGACGTCTGTTGAAGAAGGTTTCACAACCCTCCCAGCTTTACTCCGTCCAAAGAGCAAGGGGACAATCCGCCTGAGAAGCACCAACCCGTTTGAGCATCCTATCATCGATCCCAACTACCTGTCTCATCCCGATGACGTCAAGACTTTAGTTAGAGGTGAAACCAGTTCCATTTATTAAGGACTTTCTAGGGCAAAGCAACTACTTTTAACAAAGACTTATTGGGGGTAAACCAATCACTTTTAACAGAGTCATAATTCGGATAAACCAACTACTTTTAATGGGGACATACTTCTGGTAAAGTAACAACTTTTACCAGGGACATTCTTTGGGTGAAGTAGCTACTTTTAACAGATACCTACTGCGAGCAAAGCACCATCTTTGTCTTTGGATCTGGTTGAGGTAGAGTCATTTATAAAGGATCATGTCTATTTGTCCAACCAAAACTGACTTCCACCTTCAAGCATGACAATGTAACACCCAGAACACAGTGAACATAGGGTTTCATCATTGTAGATTTAGAATTAACGCTCACAATCTTTTACGAGTATGAATATCATCGATTTGTCAGTTCAAACTGTTTTTGAACTACATATAGACATGCTGAATTAATAACGCTTCGCTCCAAAAATATACCTTTGAATATCAAATGGATCAGAATTTAAAAGACATTTCTGTTCAACAGGTGTTCGCATGGTCCAGAAACTTCATCAGACAAAGGCATTCAAGGAAATAGGAGCCCAGCTTGAAGACACACCCTTCCCGACATGCAACACTATGAAGTATGACACTGATGAATACTGGGAGTGTTACATCCGGGCACTGGCTACAACAATCTACCATCCGACCACCACGTGCAAGATGGGGAAACCAAGCGACCCAACTACAGTGGTGGATCCTCAACTGAGGTGGGTGAATTTGGAAAACTTCAACTATTCTATGGCGTTTGTATAAATACAATCATGTTACATTGTGTTTTCACCAATCTAAAATGATCTCCAGGATTTGTTTGTCTACAGGTCAACTACATGTCTATTACCTTGAATATTTGTAGCTCTGATCACATCAAAGACGAGCAACTTTCATGGACATTCAGCTTTATTATTTAAATCCTTTTTGGGGCGTTCCGTGCTTGACTGATGGACGCGGGTAAACTTGCCTTCGTGTTGTGTTGGTATTCAAAATGTCTATTAGTTTGTAAATGTATTTATAAAATAACAAACGTATCACAGCTCTGTTACCAAGCTGCCTGATAATAGTTAACTGACTATAAAAGTCCAGTTTCCACCCTTGCCGCACCAGGCTGGTATTATGGAGTTATAGTTTGGCTGGACTAACGAGTCTATGCATAGTCCAATCAAAATCGCGCAACGAAATCGAAATCCGGTTCGTGAACTGTTATGCACAAAATGTGGTCGATTGCAGGATTTGCAAAGTATGTGCACCGCCAACTCGTTGTCAGCAGATATTTTCCAAATCTTTTCATGTCTTTAATCAAAGTGCTCACGTGATTTGATGCACTTCGCGATGTCAGACCCGTTTTATCACAATATAGATCTTGATTATCGATCAGATCGTCTTGACTGAGCGCCGCCATCTTGTTTGAAAGCAAATGCAAATGATACGAGAGGAAAAATCTGATTGGTCTATAGCAGAGGCATAGAAGGGATATAACTTGTAATAGCCACTAGGGGCGCTACGTTCGAACCCAGGAACCCAGCCTAGTTCGGCAAGGATGGAAACTGGACTTTTAAAGTCAGTTACCTCTCTTGCCTCGGGAAGATGAAGAAATTAGTTTGTTATTCGTCTTTCAAACGTTTACCTGTAGGTTAATGCTGAATGTGATGTCCCCAATGTTGTCTGACGTTCCTCGAACATGCACTAACTGTCTGTCTCAATACTGGAAAAAACCGTTTATTGGAGGACGGAAAACAAAGTTATTCGTCCTCGACAGAAATAGTTCCTTTTTCGTTTTACGAATTTCGAATGACGATTAAGGTATAACGAACTAACTTCTATATGTCGCTGTGACGTGTCCGTGCTGAATAGAAGTCGTCACTTTAATCTGAATGTCGGTTTCAATTTAATATTTTTCAGAGTGAAGGGTATTTCTGGGCTGCGGGTCGCGGACGCCTCCATCATGCCGGCCCTCGTGTCAGGGAACACAAACGCCCCGTGCATTATGATTGGTGAAAAGGCGGCAGACATCATCAAAAGTAGCAAATAAGGCTCAGGATAATCTTGTATTCCACATTTTAGACAGATCATCTATATCTCTCTCTCTCTAAGTATTGCACATCTATCTATTATAACGTAAAATATGTATATAAAACGCTTTAGTTATCGTACACATCACATGATGTTCTTCGATGATTTCTCTCTCTCTCTCTCTCTCTCTCTCTCTCTCTCTCTCTCTCTCTATCTCTCTCTCTCTCTCTCTTATTATATTATTATTATATTATTTTTCTTATTATAGAAATATGTGAATAGATCTTTTTTGTCATCAAATACATACACGATGTTCTTCAATTAATATTTTTTAATCTGGAATAAAAGTTAAAAATACTTCCCCAAAAAGTGTTTGTGTTCTCATTCATGTGGATTTCCTATAAGGACAGCACAAAGAACATCGAATTTGTGAGTGAGTGATTTCTAAGCCGTTTCTAGCAATATATTCCATCTTGACAGGAGCGCAAGAATGGGCTTCACTTACTTGTCCAAAATTTTAAGGTGAAGAAATAAAACAAGGTCTAATCTCTGCTTGTAAATTCAAAATAGAACATATAGCTTGTATGTATATAGAAACGTTTAAAATTTCACATGCTTCTGTAAAACACAACCGAAACGTATAATATTACAAGATTTTCTGATGGGTCGGCGAAATAACTGACTGGATGTCGCCAGTCACCTTGGATTACTCAGTGTACCCGGTGTTCTATTCTATACTGAATCAGGATACACCATGAATCCATTCGCCACCACAGCTTCGAGTCTGGTTCGAATGTAACGATGCTTTTAGGAGCCGTTCATTCAAATTACCATGTTCTTTTATGATCAAAACAAGCATCGAATTCACATCACTAAAGTTCGGTTTTGTCAACACAATTTGTATCAGCATCAAAATCTACTGAATGTATATTAAGTAGATTTGTCCCAGTGTGAAGAATATGTCGCTAACACACTATCAGACATACTTGTGCAATCAGGGTGCAAGATATATCCATAACGAAAATACTCTTTTATGCTTTCATTGAGGCGTGATGTTGATTTTTTCCAGCAAAGTGGAAATAATGTAAACGTTTCACCAATAGCAGTAATGTATGTTACCTTGGCGAAAAAATGGGAAATATTGTACATTTTCCTTCTATGTGGATGATTGAAGATAATTCCAGATCTGAGTCAGAAATATATTTTTCTGTCTTTCATAGAAGACCATGGTCTTCTCAAAAATGTCACTGTTCATTGTCGTTTATGTTGCAATTCTCGCCATCATCATCAGTGTCTTCGTCTTTCCGGTTGATGAAAAAGGAATTCTTTCACCTGAACTGAACGTAACATATGCCTTTATTATAGGTAATAGAATGGCTTTCACTTTAAATGGTCGATGTACACGTTTCGAAAAGAATTCATTTGTTATCGATGTACTTTCTAATTAACTTTAGTTCTTATAACTACATTATTTCATTGGCCATTATCGCAGCTTATTTTAGCGCCCATTTTGAACGACGTAATATAATATAATAATGTACATGTAGTTCTGTTTTGATTTTGGTTGTATGCGTGTGCGTGTGTCTGTGTGTTTGCATGCCTGGTCAAGGATGCCCTCGTCCCAAAGAAACCCCCCCCAAAAAAAAAAAAAAAAAAATTTTAAAATTTAAAAAATAAAAACTATCGTTGTGACAATCTACAGCTAACTATGAATTTACCTTAGTATCTTTTTGACACATCTTTACAATCACCTTTCAAAGATCGGCCAAATGAGTGATCATTGGTGACAGAGGTTTGAAATAGACACAGGTTAATTAACAACTATATCTTCCGTCACGTTTATCGTGTCGGCCATTTTGACGTCTTGTACTTGATGTAAATGTATTACGACGCTATGTCAATGTGATTGACTTACTGAAGTTGTTCTTGACAGACCTCCACATCTAATAAGGATATTTTGTTGAATACATTTCTTGAAAACAAACTAAAACAGATGTTCCTCGCTTTTGGGGGAACTATTCTATTCAGTAGTAAGTCAAGGCACCATGCGTGTATATGATCTGTTATTATATGTGTTTAACAAATACGGTTTGGTGTGTTGATAAAATACACTGACGCAAGTATATTCTAATCAAATCAATTTGATAATTAAATATGGTTTCTTTACATATTACTTAACATCACTACACACAATTTGGACAGTTGCAGTAACACACAACGGTGAGCGCATCAAACACCACTTTGAACAGTATTTCAGTTATATCATGGCGTTTCAGACTGATGTGGGATAAAAATCCGAAGTGTTTCAGGCCATCCAACGGGTGTTCGCGAAAAAGGTGAGCATATCTTGCCACACAGGTGGCACCCGTCACAAACACATGCAAGGACAAGTCAATTGTTCACCTGAACAAAGCACGGAAACACCGTTGATGCCCGTCCTCACTATTACTGAGCATGTAAATTATATTGTCCGTCAAGAACATCGACGAGTATAAGCCATATGTTCCTCCAGGTAATACGTGTCATACATTTGACAAAATGTATTGACTCAGGGCATTATTGTTAATCAGAGTGTATAGACTCGGCATGCAGTTGAACTCATCACCCATCCCATCATTGATAATCCTTCTTGAAGAGCTATGAAATCAGAAGCTGCAATAGCGCATTTTTACACTTTTTCTTTTAATTGGCATGTTAAACTTCTATTTCACAACTCAGTTTTATTTGCACGGATCACTATGGAATCGTGGAAGGGTCATTGTCGCGTTGTCGTATTGCCGCACTGACGCCCTTACAAAAACAAGCAAAACGTGTCAAAATTAACCAAAGCGTGACAATTCGACAACGCGACATTTTGGCCATTTGTTGCATTGTCGCGTTGTCGCATTGACACTTTTGAATATATTTTTTTAATTTACCAAAGGGCGACGATCCCGTAACGCGACATTTTCAAAGTCAAAATATGTCTCATTGTCTCATTGTCACCCCATAATAAATGTGTATAAAAGACGTAAAGATCAGTTAATGTTACAGTTAGGAAGCGGTAACCAAGTTAAATCTGTCGTAGAAGTTCAACCTGATACATGTAAGTCTTGAAATGAAAACACAAGTCCGTCCGCGAGTCCATAACGTTTTATTGTGAGCTCTTCTCTAAAAGTGCTTAGTGTTAGACTCCCAGTTCCAAACACGTAGTACCTCATCAACAATCCACATACCTCTAGTGCAGTGGTCTTCTGGAAGATCTTACTCTTGACCTCATTAGACAACTGACGAGTGCACGCCTGACCCATAATCTCGTTACACCCCGCATTAGGTGTTTGCTGAAGGGAGAAGGGTAGGAAATGTGTGCTCCAGCCTAGCGCAGAGCTCACGACACACTGTATACTGCATGTTGTATACAGTATATTGCGCTTGATATACTGTAAACTGCATGTGATACTTATTTGCGGAAACGTTTCAACTTTCAAGATTCAAGATTGAATTTACATTTATTTCTTATACAACAGACCATCGCCATATATCACTGGAATACTGCTGAGAGCGGCGGTAAAACAATATGTTTTCATAATGGACCGCTGCAATCATTTTAAATAGAACCGTATACATATGTAGTACCATCTCACTCACTCTGTTTCGAATTTTCAGCAGAAATATATATTTACCAGCTGTGAGGGGAGATATCAGATTTTTATAAGTTGTCAAATAGGGATGATAAAGGATCCCTCACTGATTAGGTTCTTGTTTACTTAAGAGCAGAGTTGGCCATGTTAGATTATGTAACCAAAATCCAGGAGCTCCGGCGGGGTTGGGTGTGGGGCAAACTGGTCGTGTTATTGTGTGGTATGAGCTGTGACGTAGGCCCAAGAGAATAAAGTAAAAAATGAGACCAACTCAAGTCTACAATGATTGGGAAAGTCTAGATTTCCACATCTAACCTGAAATTAAGAATTGTTCTGTGCTCCTTTTTTATTTTATTATTTTTATTTTGTAGACATGGATAGACCAACCAGGAAAGAAATTGATGGAATATTAATATCACATGTTACCACTGATCCAGTTAAATTCATCACACGATAATATATAGTATTTGATATTACGAAGGGCATGATCATGTACATGTTCACTGTAGTAATGTACATACTAGTCAACTTGATTATAATTTCTATTATAGTGTGGCAGGCATCAACGATTACTATATGATATCCTCACTTGTCATCGATGTATTGACATCGAACAATGGACGACAATTCAACATTCTTATTCGAGCTACAAATAGCTTCAATAGGGTCAGTACCAGTGTCAGTAAAATTTTTGTAGTTAAAAATATGTATCTACTAAATATAATCTAAAGGAGCCAAGAACAATATTTTAGTTTTAATGCTTACTTTCATGGATAGAATTGAGACAATCTTGGCTTGCCAAATCGTTCTAGACTTGAGCTGGATTCCTTTTAAATTTATTCTCTATGGTCTGGGAAACGTACAAGGGCGTCCGTATCGCATGGAGAACTGACGTGTTGGGAGAATCCCGCTATGGCCAGCCTGGGTCAGTGTAATCGGATATATTGTGGAGTTTTGGGTTTGGGCTGTTTGCTGAATAGAACAAGGGCACAATGTAGAGATTAAAGCATTACCACCTCACACAAGTCTGTTTATATCAGATGGAATACCATGGTAGAATATATATTTTCTATGTTGCTTTTTGAATTATCCACAAATAATGAGAACTACAATGTAAACATCTATCCGGAGATACACAATAATACTACTGAAAAATGGGACTAATCCACTAATATTTCTTTCTTAAACACTGCCCGTTACAGGCATTCTAATCATTATATTATACTTTGTATAGTTTACACGTTGAGAAAAAGTGCATTTCAAATATTGGCAAATTGTGTATCTTTCTACATTTTGAATTCATTATAATTTCTGCAATAAAACCTTAACATCAGATAGTGATATAAACGAATATAATCTGTACTATGATAAACTTCGTATTATGAATTAAATAAACTGAAATATGATAGTACAAACAAATTAATTTAATCTGTTCGTGTGAGTAGGTAACCAGAGATCGACGCAACTCGCTAACGTAACCATTTGTGAAAAATCAAATATTCAAAGTTATGGGGTTTGAACATGTGCATTGAATGACAGGCAAGAATGCAATGCAATGATTTAATTATGAATCCAATTATTTTATAAATAAAACTAAACACATAGAAAATAAAAGTTTAATTTCCCATTGTTTGAAGGGTTTTTTATGATAGTTTTTGTTTGATTGTTTGTTGTTAAATGCCGCACCCAGCAATATACCAGCGAAATGACGGTGGTTTGTCAATAATCCAATCT